CGCAAATTGTTGGGTGAGTGCGAGCGACTTTCTTGAAACAATGATTTTCTCAATTTCGATGAAAATGGGGTAACTATGGCGTTACGGAACGCACAATCACAGTCTTCATATAAATTCATCTGCCTTGACGTTATGTGCACTTGTGAATATATGCTATCTTTTATTTTTAGAGCATCTTATATTTAAAAAGGTTTCGTATCTTTCCTTTTAATTTCATATATTATAAAATTATTTAAAGAAAGATTTAAAATTTAAAAAGTACTTTTTTTTATTTTAAAAAGATTTTATTTTTATTTTAGAAAAATTGATTTTGATAATGTTTAACTTACATACATAAATTAATATCTAATTGATGTAAATTCAACATATTTCAAAATTTATATGAAAAATTTGAAAATATAAGGTCTATTAAAAAAATTTAAATAAATATTAACTTTTATTTATTACATACATTCTTTCTATCCTTCTTCATCTGTCATAAGTTACTTGAGGATAAATCGCGAGATAAAAACAACTGAATTTTTTATCAAGTGTTCCAAATACTGTGCAATATTACGGTTTCAACTAATGCTTGTAACTCAATAAGAAACAAATTAATAACACGGATTATTTTGAGTGAGATCTGATAGGATAAAATAAAAATTGCAACATCAAAATGCGTGAATGAGCGCGACTGAATCCAATCTGCGTAAGATACCTGTTTTCATTGCTGTGGTTTTTTTATTTAATAAAGAACAGAAATAAATGAAAAAAAATTTTCAGAATTGTGTTCCACGCTGTTCTTTTCGGCGATGTTTACGATCGTAAAGTCAACACCCACTATCGATTCGATTTGTCGCGCATAATTTCGTGAGAATAAAATCAACATGACGTGTTAGAAATTATTAACGAAAGGAAGGCACGACGTGAAAAGGAAGCAACAAATCGTGAAATGGATGCCTTTGAAAGAAGGCTAGTCCGTTCTAAGTCGACACACCTGCCGCATGGCATGCAAACGTGTGATATCGAAATATGCATGCGTCGTCGTATTGTGCATACGCATACACGCACGCAACGATAAGACCTCATCGGATTACCCGTGAAAATCGACTGCGTACTTTCACATCGGTATATCCGTCTGAAGCGCCGTTGCTCGAGCGTAGCGCGCGAAAATCGGATCTCCTACGAGCTAGCTAAACTGGGCTGATTTAAAGTAGGACTCCCGTCTCGTTTCGCCTCGCCCGCGATAATTTTCACGATATACTTATTGATAAACTTTTCAAACAATTCGCAATTTCTACTCGCGCTTAGTTCGCAAAATTCGCAAACACAATGTATGCTGTCGCTCTCTTGGTTTCATTCTTGAAATCGAAAGTGATTTCGCACTGGGCAATCGAACACTAATAGCGATTGTCGATCCGGGTAATTAACGTATGCTTTGATTAATCGATCCTTTTATCACAGTATTATCTCTAATCTCAAGTTAATTTCACCTTTATAAAATAGTTATTAATCTTTTTGCGAGACCCTTAGGAACAACTTATTGGCGATACATTGTTTAAATGTTATATTGGGCCAATATTGTGCCAACAAATTGTGCTACTAGGGATAGTGCAACAGCGATTTCTAGGCATCCGGATCAGAGATACTTTATATTATATGTCCTACATTATAGTCCAGATGTTTATTATTTTGTAAAATAATTATATGAAAAGACTGTAGAGACTTTTACATAAACATTTTTATACTTTTATAATTTTTGTTAATTGAAAAAATTATAATTTTTTTCTACGAATCCCAGTAAAAAATTATTAGTCGATTAACGTTGAATCAGTATCGATTTGACGTTGATCGATGAATAACTTCTAGCTAAGATATATTGCAAAAAAAAATTGTGTAATGTAATTCTCGATATTTATAAACTAGTTGGTTACAACATAAACGTGCCTAAAAGTGAAAATAATATGGAGAAAATCTACATGGACTGCAACATCGGTAAACATATAAATAGTAACGATGCACTCATAAAAAATAATTGCATTGTTTAAGATTGATTGCGTATGCATTAACTGTGTCATTAACACGATTGAATTAGCGTTGATGCGATCAGCCTTCGCTCTCATTCATCATCTCATATTCGTTCATTGGTACTCGTTATTTTCCGTAAATTTGACTCAGATTCGAATTCTCCGCTCTATTTGACGCTCCCTCTCGCCACTGCTGCTGGACGGTTGCAAGAGGCCCCTGCCTCCTCTTCAACGTCCGCAAAGAAGAGAGTTCCTGGTGCTCTCGACTACGGAGAATGTATGAAACGACCGAAAGGCAAAAAGGAAAAAGGACTATCCGTTGACTCGCTCTATATATACTGCAAGTATCCGAAGGTATGCCCAGTGCACGATACGCGTCTCATCCGTCAGCTTCAAGGTCCTTCGTCTTCAAGGATATCGTCACGTTACTGGCGATCCGTAGACCTGGGACGAAAAAAAATAACTGCACCAATTTGTTCTCCAGTCAGACTTCAGGGAAACATTCAAAAATTCATAATGAAAGGAATTACGCACGTTGTTCAGTTATCACGTTGCCATCTGCTTCTTCTGGTACTTTTTCTTTCGGGCTGCGCCAACGCAGAAATCGAAAGACGCACCACGAGGCAATTGGTAGAAGATGCGCCGGAAAATCTGGCATCTAATTTGAACAAAGATTGCGGGAAGTCATATAGTGCCACGTGTCTTAAGTTGGACGTGGTATCCTTCCTGGATAAATTGTCGGAGCAGGAAAACATCGGTATCTTACCGGGTGTATCTGTGATCAAAGAGAATGGTTCCGCTGACGTTCCAGCTTCGGATGTAGTCGCCAATTTGGCGAGGGATTTCCCAAATGATGTTGAGAAGAGGCTGGATGCCTATTTGGTTCACAAAGTCGGCAGTTATCTTAACAGTCATTCGATTTCCATCAAACTTTTTGATCCGAAAACTTTTGAAGCTACCAGAAGCTTCAACGAAGAGGCACTTACGCAACTCGGCTTGGGTGGCAACCAAAATGTTGAAACAGGTTAGAATTTTATTGTTTATTTATTAGCAAAACTGTAAATTAAGTTATGGAATCCTCGTATAGTCGCATCAGTTAACATTGGTTTGTAAGATGTTTTATTTTACAATTTCATATAATTTTTTATGAAAATTGTAATGTATATTTTCAAATCACTAAATTCTGTTTTGTTATACATATATAAAAAATAATATAAAATAAAATAATTTAAGATAATAATGATAATGATTATATATTTAACAGGACGTAAGAAAGATAAAGGTGGTTATGGCGGCTTAATGGCCGGTCTGATGATGATGAAGGGAACTCTTGGCGCGATTGGATTCGGTGCACTTGCGCTTCTTGCTGGAAAAGCTCTGATGACCGGTCTCATGGCGTTAATGTTATCAGCAATCATTGGATTAAAATCTTTAGCGAGCGGTGGTGATAAAAAGACTACGTACGAAATTGTTAGCAAACCGGTATATTCCAGCTCGCACACGCATAGCTCAGAGGAGCATCACGGACATGGATACGGACATTCCGGATACGGAAGGTCTCTCGATACCGTCCATGACTCTCTTCAACAGGCCGTGTTGAAATATGGCAACGCGCACGATCGTAGATCGCTTCTGCAGAATTAAAATCATCTAATCAACTTCAAGGTGTTTGCACACCACTGATACACGATAAAATCTTTAGCACATTTCTACCTCACCGACTTTTTTTTGCTGTTTCTTATCTTTCATTCTCAAGCACTATCAACTTTTCTCTCTATCTGTCTACGTCTTTTCTTCATCTCACTCTATTGCTCTTCATTGTTCTTGTCTTTCTTTTTCGCCATCACACTTTCTACCTTCTAAGATCTCGTTCAATCTCATTTCATTGATCTACAAGTTATCACCTTTATTATCATAGTCATATAGGTATTTATTGCGGCCACTGTTGCATTTTCGACTGATACCTATCGAGAAAGTGTATCATCGCCGAGTACGCAGAGTTGCCCAAGATCATGTACATGATTTTTGGAAATTATTTATTTCGTTATTGTAAAGTTGTAATAATAAAAAAACATTTGTAAAAACATTAGTATTGTCATTATTATAACAACTGCAACAGTTAAAAAGTTAATAAATCGCAGAGTACGCACGATACATTTTATCTACGGTAAAATAAACATTTGTCTTATTGTTTAGCGATAATCATCAGGAACTTGTTAGTTTGAATGAAGGAATTATGCTGAACTCTTCTACCTATCTGGCGTAAATACATTTATACAAGTACATCACGCGCTAAAAAGTACGCGTACTTTCTGTTACGGTAATTACATTTGCGTTACTGTTAAACATAGATATCTCTGAAGGTGAATGTACGGACCAATTAAGAAGTAATAAGGCCAGCACCTTCACCACGTTAGACCATCAGAATGGTCGTTAGACGTCAGTTTTGCATCAGATCATAAAGTGTTGCGATTCTCAAGGCGCATGCGAATCCTAATATGTATCATTATTTTTTTATTAATGTAATAGAAATAATAATTTTATATCATATTTCCTACAAAAAAAGTATTAAAGAACTTTTTAAACTAATAAGGTTCTTTTAACAAACAGAAAGTGTAAAAGTAATGATAAAAAATTATAATCAAACATTCCCATAAATTAAATAATACAAATTTTATCAACAGACGTTTATTAAATATGTTTTTATTATTGGTTACTATTCTCGTCTTTTTATTGCAATTATGAACTTTGAAATCCTTATGTTTTAAATTTCTGTTCTACACGTATAATTAATTTAGAAGTGGCACAAACTGTCACTGTCTTAAATGTTTGTATAAGCGTGTCAGCTTATTACAGCAGATCACAATGCAATATCTGGAAATATATGTTTTATTGTTACGTATACGATCCATGGTTGTGGCTAAAACTTGATAAATAATTTTGATTTACCATTTCAGCCTTGTTATTAGAGGATTATTTGTCTCGCTACAAGTAATGACAATCGTGACAAAACGATGGGAGAATACCGCGAATGACATAAATCTCAATATATATAAACGATTGTCATGACCCATAGATCAGTCAGTGATAGCCAGTATTCCTCCCAAAGTTATCTTCGTTGTCATTGTCATTGGAATTGATATCAACGTTTACTTTTTTATTGTGCAAAAGTGCGTAAATCTATGCTCATCCTTTGTTTGTTGATCACGTGCGTGATTCACGTGAATACGTACGAAAAAAATGAAATTCGAAACGTTAAGGATTACATTCTTGATACGGAATTATATAGGATACCAATCGAACGTCAAATATTCAACTTCAAAAAGAATGGCATCAAAATCGACTTAAAGGTCATTCCATCGGTTAGGAATGATTCAGTGAAAAATAAGAACGATGATTATTTTCCGGAGTTTCCCATAAGGGACATAGGCAAATGCATTATCAAATTTTCGCTTGGTTGCATCAAAAAACGCTTTATCCATTTCATAGAAACAGTAGGTCGCCTCGATGAAATCACATTACTTGGACGAGATGTAAAGTTGGTGAAGACCGGAATAGCACGTAGATACAATGCTCGATCTATGAATGACTCGGATGTCAGTATCGAGCGCAGCGTAGATGATTTCTTCGATTCCTTTACTCTGCGTATCACGCTGCCTAGATGGAATAATAAGCAAGAAAAGAATCAAATTGATGTGATGTTTGATGAGACAGCTGTAGCAGAAGGTTAGCACAAAAGCCATTAAATGAAGTATAAACTAAGAGAATATCTTAAAAATATTTAAGTAATGTGCTAAAATTTATCGCGGTCTAAGATCTTCAGAGATTTCAGAGATTTTTAGAACTTTTACATTGTTCAGGAAACTATTTTTTTCTATAGTACTAAATTGTTAAATGTGATTTGTTATAGGACGAGGAAAGAAAGGTGGAGGTGGATGTGGTGGAGGCAAAGGCGGAAAATGCAAGATGATGATGATGGGCATGATGATGATGCTTAAAATGAAGCTCATAGGTAATGTTGTTATACCATTTCGAATTTTCTCTTACTCGTGCAAATATATTTCTACGATATAAAAATCACTTTGCTTATATCTATACAAAATTTTAAAATTGCATCAAATTATGATAAAATAATAGTCAAATTAATATTTTTTTTCAATATGATAGGATTGATGTCGTTAAAAAGTATGATGATGGGCGGAATGTCTCTAATGGTTTCAATGATGATGTTGATGAGCAAATTCGGAAAAGGAGGAGGAGGAGGCCCTTGGAAAGGAGGAGGCGGCGGAGGAGGAGGGGGTAAAATTGCCGTTTTTATGTTTTGTTTAATTGTAGTGTCTAATTGTGTTAAAGAAGGTCCAAAAATGGCCAAAATTGGTCTCAAATGGACACCATTAATACCTATGCAGTTGTCATTTTGAAAGTCCGTACATTCATAGAATAATGCTTATTATATCCAGGAAAGCTTGGGAAACCTTCCAAAAATAATAAAATAGGTCGTTTAAACGCTCTGCAAAAAAACTCATGTTTCTAATAAACGATGATTTCAAAATTAATGGTGTGTTTACATTTAACACAAGTTAGATTATGAAATGCTATAAGAATACGCTACCAGAAAGATCTACAAATATACAGTGTATCATTTTAAATAATGCATTAAAATTCCTCGAAAACTATGGTAGATACGGAAAAATGTTTCAAACAAAAGTTGTTTGATTCGAAGGATGACATAAGAAGATACCATTGATTTGACCTTGGGTGTCGTCGTCAAGGCCAGGTCAAGGTCACGTCGATTTTTTTAAATGGAATACCCTATTTTTCATTACATTTTCTTGTAGCTTATCTTGAGAGCTTTTCAAACTACTATGATTAAGTTCATTTTCATTAAATACTTTTTGAGTTATAAGGCTTGGAAGTTACAGTACCTCCGGCATTAGCATTAACCCAAGATGTTCGATCGGCGACTAAAAACCTCTTGAATGTTGTTCAGGATCATAACCTGGATAGCATCTGTCAAGATCAAGGCCATTGGTGATTGTATCTCTTATTTTCATTTTTACGTAAAAATGAATTTTTAATGCAAAAAAGAAAATAAGAAGAATAATCTCCAATGGCCTTGATCTTGACAAATGTTATCCAGCACATGATCCTGAACAACATTCAAGAGGTTTTAGCTGTCAATCGGACACCTTGCGTAATGCTAATGCCGGCTGTACTATAACTTTCAAGCATTATAACTCGAAAAGTACTTAATGAAAAATAACTTTATTATAGTGTTTTTAAAAGTTCTCGAGGTAAGCTACAAGAAAATGTAATGAAAAATAGGGGGTTCCATTTAAAAAAATCGACGTGATCTTGACCTTCGGAGACGCCACCCAAGGTCAAATCAATGGTACCTTCTTATGTCCTCCTCCAAACCATACAACTTTTGTTTGAAATATTTTTCAGTATCTATTATAGTTTTCGAGAAATATTAATGCATTATTTAAAATGGGACATCCTGTATATTTGTAAATCTTCCTGGTAGTGTATTCTTATAGCATTTCATAATCCAACTTGTGTTAAATGTAAAATAACACATCATTAATTTTGAAATCTATCATCATTTATTAGAAACAATGAGTTTCTTTGCAGAGCGTTTAAACGATCTATTATATTTATTATTTTTGGAAGGTTTCCCAAGCTTTTCTAGATATAATAAGCATTATTCCATGAATGTACGGACTTTCAAAATGATAACTACATAGGTTTTAATGGTGTCCATTCAGGGCCAATTTTGGTCATTTTTAGACTCCCTCCTTTAATTATAATTAATTCAATGCTCTCACTAATTTTTGGTTGGTGCTCTACTAAAAAATTTAAATAATTATAAATTGCATTTTAACGTCTACAATGCAAGAAGTCAATTGTCTAAATTTTCTTTCAAAAAGATCTATAAGTAATGTAAAATTAAATAATACTCTCTTGTAAAGTATTGAGTAACGATTAACATCTTTGATATCATAACGGCTTCCAGACTACAAAGAGATAGTACTCCTTACAAAATCTTCGGGCGGTGGCGGTGGCGGTGGCGGACATAGCAGTAGTTATGGTGCACCTCCACCAAGTAGTTATGGTGCACCTCCATCAAGTAGTTATGGTTCACCTTCAGGAGGCGGCGGTTATGGAGGCGGTGGATGGGGTCGTAGTTTCCACAAACGGCCGATGATATACGATAAAGAAATTAAGACAGAAATTGCGAATGGATTTAATCGCATTCCAATGACAGGAGAAGTTATTTCAAATACAGAAAGTATTGATTATCTGGACTATCAGGATTATCAAGAACCATCATCAGTTATAAACTCCAGTTCTCGAATTTCTAATTGGAACACCCCAGGCTACTCCGCCTTCCACCAAGACGGAGACACCGACGTAAGTACCAGTTCGGCAAAGAATAATTTGAAGTCAGAAGCGATAGTAAATGCAAAAGGAAGAAGTTTCATCTTCAACGAGACTCCACCTATTAGTATTGTAAATGTAATTGAAAAGACTGTTGATACAACGACAACCACGGAGCAATCTGTTACTCATGAATTCGCCACAAATGCGGTATATATAGATGAGTGGCAGGCTACAGCTGAAAAAACAAATTCTAATGTATTATCAACAAATTCAAATGAAGAAATTAAATTACAGCAAACCGAGTTACGACCTAAAAATATACCTTTGTTACGTGAAATTTAGATCTTCAGTTATTAGTTATATCGTCATGTATACGTATTTTTAAATAAATGGTACTGCAACTGTTACACATCTTACGAAAAAATTTATTTTACTGATAATATTTCAAATACTTTTTAATTTAAAATAAAAGTTAAATTAAGAACGAAAATAGTATCTAAAAAAAAGACTTTCTCTTTGATAGAAATATATCATTTTTATTTATTTGTTTATTCTATTCTTGTATGTGTGAAGAATTTACGATAATATATTAATTTTATAGAAGCATTTATATGAAGATTTTAATTAATTTGGTGCGCAAAATAGTGGCGCAATCTTTTGAAGAGTCTTCCAAGCTTCTTTCTACGACTTTCTATCTAGTAAGTAACTGACCTTGAATGTTGCTGGAAGTATACGGAATCCATTTTATCGGGTACACCTGGTATACCGATTGAGAGGCTCCGGTACGAAGAACATCGACACTAGGTGTCGAAAGCTATTCTTATAGTCAATCAAGTTCAAGATTGAATAGATGTATGTACGGATTACTTTGAAGAACAGTTAAAACATATTTACGTTTATAACGGTTTTTCTTTTGCGTCATATTCCATAAATCTTATTTCATCGCTTTATTTCTTCGACATGTGTGCATATTATTTTAAGGCAAAAATTGTGTGACCGCGGATATGTGTATCATTGAAATCTTTTCAAAATTTAAATATCACATAAATTTTTAAGCTGATTTTGTTTTGGAATTTTATTTTTGACGAAATTCATTAATTTATTCAAATATTAAAATGACGTAGCTTGGTACCAAGGTATTCAGCACATTTATCTGTACTTTATAAAAACAATTACAATAATGATTAAAAATTAAAAAATTTAATGCACGATTTAAGAAGCATTCTTCAATAAAATTTATAAAATAATTCTTTGTTGAATAAAATTAAAATTAAAAAAAAATTTGTAAGAAATATGAAAAATAAAGACACTGTACAATTATAAATTTCATATTATAATTAATGTTTAAAAAATATTATTTTAAGTTAGCGCTGTATACATATAAAAATATACGACATGGTGCATCTTTGAATTAAAATTTAATATTTTACTTACTTAAAATTAAGGTTATTTGGTTTATAAATTCAGTGTTAGAGTTATACTTTGCATGGCAAATGTTACATACGAATTCTTAAGTTGTCTGAAGTTTTTACTCATGCGATGATCGGCCTACTTTAATATATTGACTGTTTGTTTGAAACTCACGACACGTCTTTTCGGTGGCAATGCGATCTGATTCAAAAAAAGAAACGGTAGACGGATTTGTCAGTCATGAACGATACATGGAGCATGCGTGTTTATGGTCGCACATTTGATTTTCTTGGGGCGCTCTCCTTTAGCTTCTTTGATGGGGAAGCGCCTGCTTAAACCGCAAGCTTATCTGTCAATCACCGTTAGGTAACCTACTGATCAACAGGATGCTACTGACTGCTTCACTACTTTTCGCGACTAATCAGGAAAATCGGCGAAAGTGTTCGTGCCGCTCGACACACACAAAAGATTCCTACTGTTCCGGAAATAGGTGCAACGCGCAACTCTACGTCTGAGGATCACTTTCCTATGTTACCGCATTTCAGGATCAATTATTAAAAAGAATCTATGCAATAATGATTAACTTTAATTTACTATATATTATTTCGAAAATATCGTAATACATTGTTTTTGCTACTGTCCTTAGAAAAAATAAAAGTTTATACTCCTTTATAAAAATAGCAATAAAGAATTTGCAAGATTAATTATTTTTATACTAAAGAAAATTCGGTATTCAGATAAATTTTTATAATATATTATTTGTGTTAATATTAACTTAAGTACTCATATTACAAGTACATGTATTTATTCTTGATATTTATTTCTGTGTACGTATTTCATATAATATTTTCGTTTACTTATTTATCTGTGTCTGGAAGTTTATTACAAAAGTCGAAAGCCATTTCCCTGTCTCAGTTGACGTAACGGAAATTGTACAGCAGTCCTGCATAATATGAGGCAATGTGTAGTAGGCTATTTGTTCCGTCAGAGACGTGCGATAATATTGCATTCGCATGTCTCTGATTTGTGGTAAAAAGTAGGAGACAGGTAAGTGGGTGAGTAAATGTTGTCACTCTTCGTAAAAAAATGAGTATGAAAAAATAATGATTGACGCTTTGACGGGTAATCGTTCATCTATTCTTAACTATAATATTTTAATGTATTATTATAATTTTAATATGCGATTAAAAATATATTATATTTGATTTAAAATAAATTAAATTATTATATTATATAATTTATATTTAATAAAATCAGTTGAAATAAAATAAATTATTATTGGATTTAAAATTATACATAGTATAAAAAATTTTTAATTACTCTGATAAGTAGAATTTGAAAATATTTCTCATGTGTTATTGGAGAAAATAAAAAGTTACTCTTTCTAAGATTTCTTAGTAGATTATTAGAAGATCATAAATTTTTATGATCATAATTATCAATTACCATACAATGGATTTTTTTAAATGTTAAGCTAATTTTTTGGTCACCCAATATGTGGCGTGTCCCAGTTGCTTGGTTCACTTTGTACTACACGTACAAACCAGTTTCGATGCACCGCAGACAAATACTTTCCGTCGGATCTGTCGCCATTGAAGTTTACACTTCTGATTCACAATTGATTTTC